TGCCTGAAGTGAACTTACCTTGACTGTGTAAGCTACCTGAGTTTGTGTTGGGGACTCCCAGCTGTTCGGTGCAGAAGTGTTGAGGTACTGCTTGAGACTTTTAGGGGAGGGCAAAACTCTCTCCCTCTCCGCTTCCTTCCCATCCCGCTCCTCAAATCCGTGCCTTGCTGAGTACCCAAACTTCAGTGTTGGTTATGTATCAGGAAAGGGGTGGGTTTTCTTCGTACCTTGAACTAAAATGTCACTAAGTAATTTTAGAGTCTACATTTAAGACCTACCCTGATGGTGTCATTGTGTAGAAAAGGGAGCTAGTGACCTTTCCCTTTCTCTTCTTCCTGAAGGTCTCGCTAAAGAGTAGGGAAAGGTGAATTTTACCCTCATGACCCACCTCTTCCTTGCCATCATCACTACTACCACCCTAATTCTGATCCTCATCTAAAGGTTACTACAACTGTTAGGATCTCTGTCCCAGGGAGTTTCTGATCCAAAAGATACACAGGGCGAGACAAGAAGGAGAGTACAGAGCAATTCTTAAACTGCTAACTTTGGGCCATATTATTTATTACATAGGAGACTGTTTGCTTTCTTTTTCAATAAGAAGCATGATTGGGGGGGGGGCGTCCAGGTAGAGACTGTTCTATCTTTTCTTGTCCACCTTTCTTTCTACTCAGTTATTCCCTCCAGCATTTTTTCCTCACCAATGAGGAAAAGACAAATTAATGGGGAATAGGGCTATCTATGGCTCCTAGTCTCCATGGCTTCCAATATGGTAGTAGGCCTCTTAGTATGTTACTGGGCAGCACAAAAGAGACAGTCCTCTTGCACTTGATGGTGTTTGTGAGCCTCTCATAAGCATCTGGTGGTCACCATAGAACAGAATGCTTGAGAGTTGGGTGGCCATAAGCCCTTCTCTGGTCTGTCTTACTCTCAGTTTTCATGTGTGTGCCTCGACTAAGGAAGGAATCATTGTGCCTTGCCAAAGTTGAGCTGTGTGCACCTTTACATCGTCATTCAGTGTGTCGTTGTGGTAATACTGGTTCATGATCCAAAGAAATCCCCTCCTTTGGAGCATGATGTGTGTATTTTTAAAATTCCAACAGGGATACATGTAGACGGGAGCATAGACTTAAAATCATTGTTGTACTTAATTCAACAGTAATGCTTCCTTATCTATACGGTTGCTAAGTTTTTTGATTATAGGTGTTGAGTACAGATAGGTCTTAGTTTATGTTCTTGTCCTTTTTGTTTACGGAATAGAGATCTTTGCTTACTCTTTCAACTGTGTTAATCTGAGTTTTTGCAGATCTTTAGCCTTTTAAAAGAGGTTTAGCTCTTGGTATTACTCTTGTCTACTCTTCTGTCTCCAGGGGATAAGTTGTTTACTGTGTGATTTCCTGGAAAAATAGTTGCACTTCATGTATTTTTCCTTGCTCTTGATTGCATGAAAGCTGCTTGGTACTGGATTCATTTCAGACCCAGGCCACTTGCAAACTCAGTATGTCAATGTGCACATCATTCCTAATTTTCCCTTAAAGCAGGCTTAAAATTAGCTGTGCATAATGTGGCAAGAGAATTATATTTTTTATTTTCTATACTTCCCATAAGTCCCAAGTGGCTCTCTGGCAGCTCACAGACAAAATAACCAACAACAGAGAATAAAATACTAAGTAACAAAACGAGTCACGTTAAAATAGAATATACATAACATAAAAATAACAGCAGGTCTATAGCAACTGCATTCAAGTTAGTCCAAAGATACAGCAGAAGAACAATAAATGCAGCATAAGCACAGAGTAAAAATGGTTTTAAAAGCTGTCCCCCTAGCTGTCACCCTCTGTATCTCCTTAAGAGGGGACTCTCTGCGAATGACCTCAGATGATGACCTCAGGGTCTGGCAGGCACATACGCGAGGAGGCATTCCTTTAAATATCCTGGTCCCAAGCCATTTAGGGCTTTAAATATTAGTTGGGCCTTGCCTTCAATTGGTAGCCAGTGGAGTTTAGCAAAGGACCGGCATTATATGCTCATATCTGCCAGTCCCTGAAAGCATCCTCACTGGCATGTTTTGAACCAGCTGAAGTTTCCGGAAGGCAGCCCTACATAGAGTGCATTATAGAAAGAGGGGTTACCAGAGCATGTAGCACTGTTGCTAGGTTCTGCCTGTTCAGATAGGGTCACAGTTGGTAAAGGTCAGCCTGAGCTGACCTGAGACTCTAGCAGCTGTTCAGGATTTAGTAGCATCCCCTGATGGTGAGCCCTGTCCTTTACTGGGAGTGTGACCCCATCCAGGAGAAATTGAATGTCATCCCACTGGACATTCATACACGTATAGATTGGGCAGTTGGGAGGTTAATGTAAGCCAGTCTGGAAAAGAAATGTTGATGCTCCAAAACAGTGCCCAGATTGGAATGATACTATACAAAGCAAGTGGAAATTCCCAAGAATGAAAGTGCACAGACTTTGTGCATCTTATATGCTTTGAAAGTTGTTGTGAAGTGCTTTCTTTCTCTGTCTGTCAAAAATCAAGCATTGGATCTTGGTTGTGCCACCATGCCAACTAGTTAGTGACACTCAAAATTCACTTCCTAATGGACACTGATACTTAAACATGTTGCCCATTGTCCAGATATGGTTGTAGGAGAGAATGAGCAGGACCTCAGTGGCAAGACAGACCTGCTCCCTGGCCATCTCCATAAGTCCAAATTAAGCAAATATGTGAATTCTTTCTTAAATTGCTTAATCTGTACATCTCAGAAAATTCAGCTGTTCTTGGCACAGAATTTACAAATGCTGTCTGTCTAAAGCTTTAATTACGCTACCAATTAGAGCTTGCAGAACCCAGTTCTACACAAACTCTTCCACATGGGGTTTTTGCTGCAGAGAAGCTTTCTGTAAAGCTGAGGTCCCACTGATGGTCCATTGGCTCCATGCCAATAGTTTCTACAGAGCCACTAGGAGTTTCTATATGTGGTTGTGCAGTATTTTTTCTGACAAGGGAGACTGAGAACTTCTTGACCAGGGCTGGATTATTAAACAAGGCAAATTTCCTAATATGGTGCTGGTACAGTCCACTAATTTTTCTTTTTGAAACTACTATCCTAAGAAGGCACTCTCATTGGGCTGATTGTGATTTTCATAATATGGGGCTGCTTCAGGCAATGATTATGGCATTGAGGGGGGAAAATGAAAATATGCAGTCTTTTTTGTCACCATGATGATAGCTGCACAAGGTTACTTTACCTACTTACTTTTCTCATGAACGTATCAAATTATTCTAGGGTTTTTCTTTTTTTTCAAATGCCTGCAGGTGTGAAACAGATTCTTTTCTGCTTAGTTATCCTAAGGGAGATGTGCCAGTTTCAAAGAAGACCAAAACCACATTGTGTCTTTAACAACTGTAATTGTATGATGAGTTGCAGTTTGACCCTCTGTGGACACCTGGGAGCTGCAGCTGGAATTCCTTCAAAAGATATATTTGTTTTTGGGGCCTCCAATTGCAGACACTTAGTATTTTCTGAATGTGTTAAAACAAGCCAAAATATATTTGCATTAGGAACAGTTATTTGATATGTACTAAGCCCACTTTTCCCAACCTGGGGCTCTCCAGATGTGTTTGACTACAAAGCTCCCAGCCAGCATGATCCTTCCTGGAAGTCTGTACTAAGCCAAAGTGCACTATTTTTTAGATTTTTCAAGTGGAAATGATCTCAACTACATCTGCCTTGTGAACATCACAGTAACGCTAGGAGGTTTCTTCCCCCACCTACTCAGCTGCCGTTGTAAACTCAAATTGTCCTAGTTCCTTAGCTCTCCCAATGTCTGGAGATACAAAGTGAATTCTTTCCTTCCTGGCAATCCTGACAGAGAATTGCCAGTTAGTCATTCCAGACAGTAAAACCAGAACTGTGTTGTGTGTTTAACAACTGCTCCGAGATTGCAACCAAAAATAAATGTTCGTGTAAGTGTCATTGAGGTTGTATTTTTTAAGGTTGCTGGGAAGCTCAGAAGGGACTTAGCTGAGGCTGTTGTGTTTCCATGTTTCAGTGTTTTTGTGGTAGCTGTCACAGCAATGTTTGGCCTCCCTGCTTGAGTGTAAGCACTTCTGCGCATGCAAGGGGGAAGCTCATTCCTGTTTTCTGCTGCTGTTCCCTGGAAAAGGTTCGCAGGGAGCAGATTATGATACAGTAAAGGGACAGGTAGCTGAAAGCTGTGAGCAGATTGCTCTTTTTCACATGCAGCTTCATCAGATACAGTGGGCAGAAGTCCACAAAAGGTGGTCCTGTTGTACAAGGTGCCACAGACACAGATGGAAGGCTCTCCCCCAGGAAGCGCACCCAGGTACTGACACCATCACCTTTTGAGCCTCCAAAGAAGGTGAACTTATTTTCCCAGGTATTTGGACACTGCTCACGCAGCTGTTGTGTGATGCCTCTGTGGTGTTCATTCTAGGCTATGGGAAGGTGGGTGTCAGGGAAGAGCTTTTGTGTATTGTGATTACTTGTGTGTGTTGTGTATTGGGCTGTTGTGATTACTTTCTTATTGTACTGTATGAAGATGGTTCTGTAAGGGGTTGTTTTTATTATTGTGCTGATTTATGATTTCAGTTGATTTTGATTTTTTTCTGTTATAGATGCCTTGTGTGTTTCTGCAAATCACTCTGAGATTGATTTCTGTGACATATATTTAATTGTTGATGATGATGGAAGAGGAGGAAGGAATCAGTGTGGTGTGGTGATTAGATTGTTGTACTGGAGGCCAGAGAAATCTGGGTTCCAATCCCCACTCATCTGGGAAGCTCACTGGATGACATTGAGTCTGTCACTCACTCAGTCTAACCTACCTTACAAGGTTGTTGTAAGGCTAAAATGGAGTTATCTTGGGTTCCTTACAAGAGGAAAAAAGGCAGGATATAAATGTAAGATGATGATGACAACATGGCTTCTGCTCTAGAAGCAAACACATGACATATATATTTTTCCTTTCCTTATTAATTTCCTCAGATGCCTTTGTAATCAACCTTCGGACTGTCGAAAACATTACAGTGAAGATAAAACCTGGACCTGCAGATCCAAAGTTTTGTCAACTATTTGTGGGAGGAAAGCCACATGTTACTGAACAAAAGATAACACCTGGACAGCTGCTTGATTTTACTTTTGGTTGCCAGACACCAGAGAAATACTGGGTCTTGGTGGTTGAGAGAGACATAGGTAAGCTGTCCTATTGGGATCTACTCTTGGGGAGGGGGGCTTTTAAAACTAATTTAGATATTTGACAGCATGGGCAACTTGCCATGAGCCTCAATGAAGCTGCAGGGGTGGGAGATTGTCCTTGTGGGAAAAATTCTTTCCTCTTTTTAAGTTCCAAATTTCAAAGGGAGGATGGGTTGCTTGGTGGTCTGGCAGGGCAGCATTCAAATAGGCTATCTGTCTCTGTCTCAAAAGACCCCACATATCAAACTTGATCATGGACAGAACATTAAAATGCAGGGGCTCAGAGTACCATTTAAGACAGTTCTATGCTAATTTTTGCAGTAGTATGAAGGAGTAGAGGGTTAGGTGGCAATCCTAAATAAAACCACTAGGAAGTTAAACTCACTGAAGTCAGTGAGATTACTTAGATATGGATATGCATATCCATGTTGTACAGGTGTTAATAGTAAGAATACCTGCATTGGAGGGTATTCTCTTTTAGCCAAGAAAGGAAGGATTTACCTTCCATTCAACTCTAGAGCTTTTTCTCTCTTATTCTGCGCCCCCCCCCCCCCGAAATGTCTTTGTGTTCATCTGCCCCAGTGGTGGAAAACCAAGCAGTCTTTAAATCTCCATTCTGCCTAAGCTCAGCTGAACTCACTAATTTATGTTCCTGCTTGACATCTATCATGGAACTGGCTCACAGTGGAATGCTTTTATTAGAAAAGCGATGGGGAATTGCTAGTCCATGGGCCTAATCTGGTTTGAAGAAGCTTGGCCTCCTTCCATGGGCCCTGCCCCCTGGAGGTTATGGGGCTTGGAATCTGTAATGATATCCTCTGATTGGAAATGATAACAGGATTTCTCTTGCATGCCTTTCCCCTTCCTAATTGTGTGCCATTCATCCTGACGCATTAGAAAGATAGCATCTACTTCCCCAACCAGAATAGAGACTCTCAGACGAGTAATTAACCACTTGCTTGATTATAATTTGACTACTCTGCTAGAATAATTTTTCATCACATCTTCTTTTCTCAGGTTATAATGCCTTAAATTTTAAGACGAGAAACCATGATTATGACTTTATCAGTTGGTTCTTCATCCTTGCCCAATATGTGCGTGTGTGCATATGTGTGTGCACACAGTATGGTAGTGCTTCATTAGAATGGGCGTAGACTGAGATTTCAGGTGGTTGTATAAAAGCATGAAATCTAATTTGCATGGACATCTGTAAGGATGCTTCTATCACATGTGATGCCTGTATGTTTCTAGATTGTTCGATAGGACCATGCCCTTTGGAAGAGGTTCTGCTTCAGCCTTCTGGATTACCACGCCTCAACAGGACTTTTGCTTGGGAGGTTAAAGCTGACAGACTTGTTGGACTTGAACTGAAGTTCTCTACATGGTTAAGGCAACTCCTACCTGGACACACTTGCTCTGATCAAGTTCTTTATAACATCGGCAGCCGACTGAACGCAAACAGAGTCAACATTGGAAACTTCTGCAGAAATGGTCCGGTGTCTCGGGTGAAGGTTCAAGGTGGACTCAGTTTGACACTTCATCTTCCTTGGGACTCAAAGCTCAATTCCTCTGGCTTTATACTAGACAGTAGATCTTCCATACGAAGTAAGTTCAGGAAGTGGCTAACCTACTTTCATTGTCATTTATCCAAATTGTAATTTGCAGTATTGAAATGGAATACATTAGGGTTTGCTTGCTAATGTGTACATGTGCCTGTGGATTGGAGGAACTATATTTACTAAAATTGAAGGAATCAACAATATCTGGGGATCACTAGGACTCGATAAACTCCACCCAAAAGAGCAGATTGCTTTCTTCCCATTTCTTGCCGCTAATTATTGTATTTTCATTTGACTGGGAAAAGGTCACATTTGAGTATTCAGTATTCTAAAAAGCACCCCTAAATGCATGCTGCACCCTTAAATTGTGAAAATGTATTTTTAAATGCCTTTAAATATGTGTTGTTTTTACTGTAAACACAACAAGAACATAAGCACTTTCATACCTTTGCACCAACCAAATATGCTCACGTTCATATCTGGAGGAGTGAATGCGGCATATTCCACTCAATAATATGTCAAAATGAAATTCTTGTACATGCCTAAAATTGGCTAGAGTACATGTTTCTAAACGACATTCCTGACTTCGTATTAGCAAAAGAGCTCAGAGAGGGTTCAGAAGGAAAAAGGGAGAATATAATGAGGAAGAGGAAATGTAGATGTCTGGCCTTTGTTTAGTCTTCCAAGCCTAGCTAAAAGTAATATGGAAAGATTCAGTCATCACTGTGGGCTGTGTTTGATGTAGATGTGTGAATGCATACGTATGTTAAGAAATGTGCACCTACAAGTCAGGAAGGGCATTCATCTAGGGAAGATTAGCTTTCTCAGACCCTGAAGGCCTGTCCACAGACTGCAGGATCAATCAATGTTTGTCTTACTCTGCCTCCATGCCCAGGTATGAGGAACATCTGGATTACCAGATGTTAGATAACAACTCCCATCAGCCCTAAGCTAGTGTAGCCAATAGTGAAGGAAGAAGGGAGTTGCGGTTTGACATCTGGAAGGCTAGACATTTGCCTAATGTAAGAGATGGCTATGATTTGCCTATCTCCAAAATTTGGTATAAGAGATAAATTTCTTCTTGATTTATGTTGTGATGAAAAATACTGGACTCTTTAAAAAGGATGTTAGAATAGTAATTTGACACTACTTTAAAAGTTCTGTTCCAGACATGGTACAGCTTGGCCATTCAAGATGTTACTTTGAAAGTATGCTCATGACAGATGCTCTTTCCCTCAAAACTTCACATATGCAGTCTGATTTTCGTGTGGGTGTACTTTCAAAGAGACAAAAAACTAAAGGAAAGGCGCTGAAGGCAGTAAGTGAGTACAGGAAAGTGTTCTCAAAAGAAGTACTTTTTTTTCCAAGTCTGACACATTTTGGAAAACAAAATTTCCTTTCAGGTACAATAGAAAAATGCATAAAGATATGCATAAATGTGTATGTGTGTTTTTACCAAACAGATTTCTTCATTTTACTTTATTTTTGAGGTTATAAACAAAACTAAAGCTTAGTTAAGAAAACAGTTTGGTTTAAAAACAATCTCTGAAATATCTTTAAATGGGCTAACATTTCCTGGAAGAAAATTTTGTGTTCCAAAATGTGTTGGGTTAGAAGTTTTCACACACAAATGCACTTGTTCACTTATGCTTGAACTCATGTAAAAGGTCTGTATCACATTAAGAACCAAGTGAATATTAATACTTGCAATCAAATTAACCCAAGAGCTAGCATTTCCCCTTTCCTTACTATTTCTGCAGATAGTCTTCTGGTATCTTTATCTGTGCTGACTGTTGTGAGTATTGGTTGGATGTAGATCAGTAACTGGTTTGGTTCCTCACTTTCAGTGATTACGTCTGTTCTCTAGTCCATTTTGCTGGGCCACACCCTCTAGATAATGTTGCCTTCCAACTTTCATCAGTCCTAGTCAGCATAGTCAAAGATGAGACATGATGAGAGTTGTACTCCAGCATCATCCGGAGGGCCTCAAGTTGCCCATCCTTGCCATAGGAATGAGTTGCATTTCCAGCTGCTTACACAGAGTAAAAGTGGTCTGATCTGGAGGAAGTAGTTCTGTTGTACAGGCGAGCACCTGTACATCTACATAGAGAGGCCAGCCATAAGCTGCACCACACACACATTCTTTTAATGCATATTCTCTAAGCTAAACCCATAAGTTCTCTCTAGTGCCCAAAATGCTGTGAGATCTTTCTGGTTGCAGAAGTGCCTTCTATTACCAACAGAGGTTGAAAAACTGTGATATATTGGTGCATGTGCATGGGGATTCCCCCCTCTCAAATGCTATATCTTCTTCTTAAATTAGGATTGTTCATTATTGAAGCTACATTTCTTACTGAATCATCAGCAACCTTGATGTCAGCTAACTACCCGTTGGCATCACCAGAAGATGAACTCATGACGTGGATTTTTGTTGTGCCATCCAACTTAAGAGCACATGTCCGATTCCTCAACTATACCAAACCAAATTGCGAACGGAAATACGAGAGAGTGGAGTACGGCTTACCTCCACCCTACTCCCCGCATGAGGTTAAAGTGTTGCAACTGAATGAGGTGCAACCCGTCAATATTGCGGGGAATTTCAACCTTTCCCTGCATGGTTGTGACCAGGATAACCGGAATCCTGGGTCCCTCAGTCTGCTCTTTCAAGTTGATGTTCGGTATCCTATAAACATAGCGAGTAAGTAGCTACTGTCTTCTCTTCTCTGTCACTTTTCCTTCAATAACACTTTAAATCTTTGAATGATTTGCGTGCAGACCAGCTAAATGCAGATAAGTTCCTTCCACAGAATATCCCTCCCTAACCCAGGGCCTTCCAGAAGTACATGATGGCAACCTAGTCAGCATGACCTGGGGATGATGGGAGAGGTAGTCAGCCATATCTGGAGGGCACTAGGTTGGAGAATGCTGTTCTAGTGTATATGCGCAAGTTCTAGTGTGTGTGTACATGTGGTAAGCCTTAACATTGCTGAACATTCAGTGTATCAGATTAAGAACACTCTTTTCATGTGGCTCTCAGAATGTTGCCAAATGTAGATCTAGACTATGGCTGTCACAGAGTGTCCTGATTGTGGACACCATATTTTAAGGCAGGATCTTGCCAAACTGAAGCAAGTCATGCATGGCTCAACAGCCAGAGGCCACTAAGACAAATCCAGTCCCCTAAGATGTGACCTCACCTCTTTTCTCCAACCCCGGGCCACCCTCGTCAGCCTAGGGATAAAAGAGATGTGTGGACAGAATGGAATACGTTCTGACAAGTTATTTATTTATTTAGAAGGCTTCTATGCCGCCCCATTCGCTGAAGCCTCAGGGCGGCTCACAATAGTAAATAAATAAGAACAGTATAAAACAATATAATATGAGTCGACCTGGCCCGAAAAGTAAAATAAATAAATAATATTAACAATTAAAATAGTGTTTGAATAAAAAGGTCTTCGCCTGGCGCCGGAAAACAAATAACGACGGCGCCAGGCAGACCTCTCTGGGGAGCGCATTCCATAGATTGGGCGCCACCATAGAGAAAGCCCTCCTCTGAGTACTTACCCTCCTAATATCCTTCACGGAGTTATCCTCTTTTTTGTATGTCTTCCTCCCTGGCTCTCTTCAGACAGATCATAGTCCTGGGAGAGAAATAGAGCTAGGATGTAACTGGTCCTGCTTCACAACTTTTGCTGCTTCAAATTCTTTCATGACGGACCAGGGATGCAGAACTAGTGGTCTGCGTATGGCCCCCAAGGCAATAGTTGTGCCCCCATGCCCTCCCCAGTTAAAATTGCAGTGGCAGCAGCAAATTAGGTGGCAAAGACATTTTAGGAGTCAGCACAGAGGGCCAGAAGATACTTTAGGAATCAGAAGTGGGCCTGCTTCGGTACTTCAAAAGAAAGTGCATTGTGTGTGCTTAGAACCGAGCATTCAGGGAGATATGCATCCCCATCCCCTCATCAAACCCACAGGTGGTCCTCAGGGCCAAAAAGGTTATGTACCCTTGCAACACCCCTTGCCCTGAATGATAGTTTGTTGCATAATAATCACAGGAACATATGGGATCTTTTGCACAATCTTCTCTTTTTCCTCCTTTTCAGATGTAACCCACATAATTGACTTGAGGGGCAGTAAGAACATGAATATTACAATTTATTCAAAGCCAATCAAACCTGGGTCTGAGGTGGGAAACCAACCTGAATGCTTGGTCTGTGTTGGTCATAGTCGAAACTGTAAACCTAATGCGACTTTGTTCTCTGAGGAGAGATACTCAGTCACGTTTCTGTGCCGAAATCTGGAGAATGTAAGAATTGCGGCTGAGCAATCTATAGGTATGTACAAAACTTCCAGAATGTTCTGCCTTGACAGTAAGAGAAGACATTTTGGTTATGTTCCATTGAGTTTTTAATACAGAATGTTTTTGTTCTATCATGGTACTGTATTAAATAATGTTGTGAATCACCTTATTATAGTTGAAGGGCAGAGCAGGAATATGTAAAATCATTCAAATGAGAGTCACAAGTTCTTCTTAGCATTCTTAGCGTATCATCCCATTTTGTAGTATGTTTGTAACTGAAGCCCCAAAATTGTGCTGGTGATATGGGGCCTGCACTTCCTTACACACTTTAATGAAGTCCCATTGTGTTTCCATAGATTATTGTATGGCTTTTAGACCTCAGAATTGGGAAGCTAAGCTTGAAACAAGGTGGCAATGCAACCTAATCCCAAACCCATGGATTCTTCTCATTGTCTTTAAACACATTTCATGTACTGTGGGATCAATGGAACATTTTCTCATTGTCTTACAAACTACCCCTCAGTGATACGTTAGTAGTATAGTTAGTATTATTTCATGGAAGTACAGTTAGTCTTCCATGAAATAATAGCATCCCTAGTATAGAACAGCAGGGCAGGGAGGAGATGGACTTACCTTGTACTCCGTAAAGCCTCTTTGAGTATGAACTTGGAACAAAATTGTCCTCTAAGCATAGCTGGGGAAATGGCTGGATGTCTGCTTCACTGTGGTTTTGTCATTAAGTTGCTCAAATCCCCTCCACAAACCATGGCATCCATGTGACTTGGGAAAAGCCTGTCTGCTGTGGAATTTGCCGCTCAGATTCATAGAAATCTGAACTTGCTTGAACCTGTTCTGGATTCTCCCAATATCCCTGGTAACTGTTTATTTGGTTCTAGGGTGTTAAGTCTGCAGCTGTAATTTTTTTCTTTCCAATTGCAGTCTGTTGGAATTCCAGGCTTTGCCAAGACAGGCTCTTTCCTCTGATGGTCCCACGGTCTCTTACCGAGCTGCCAATCCTAATGGACACATTTACATGGAAACTCCATGCTCCAGATGACGTCAGCATAGAAATCAAGTCTCCAACCTTGAAACTGAAGCAACATATCCCAAACCAGAATCAAATGTGCACCGGGAGTTACAGTTATTCCATTAATAGCACTACCCCAGGAAAGGCGCTAAGCCTTGGCTTACTCTGCCCTGGGGGAGCCATTGAAAAAATTAAGATGCGAGACAATGTCACCATAACCCTTAGGACATACGGAAAGAGGTGGTTCAGTGAATCTCAGACACAGAATCTGCAGTTGTTCTTCAGGCCAGAGGCGCAAGGTGAGCACATTCCCTTACATGGGGTCTCAGCGTTCATATCAGAGAATAAGTTCTAATGTTTATATCGCCTCAGCACATTCCTACTTGCAAAAAGGTTCTTTTCCAAAATTGATCCTAAATATTATGAAGGCAAAACTCATTCTCCTTTCTTTTAAGTGTGGAAGCATTTCATTGCAGTAGGATCTGGACTCCTTTAGCTAGAGCCTGAATCTTGGGTGATAAGGAAGCCTGGAAGAGATGTCTGCTAATGTCAGTGCTACTGTTAAACAGCCAAGTACAACACAAATTTACACACTTGAGAGCACAATCATGTGCATGTTTAGACAGGAAAAAAGGACCACAGCTCCTGGCATGCTGGCTGGGAGTTGAGGGACTTTTTCTTGTCTAAACATGCATTGAATTGTCTTTTAAATTATAGGTGGATGAAATGAAGGAATCTTGGGGTGACAAGGAGTGGACAATTGTGTGAAAGGACTGTGGCCTCAGTGCAGTCTTGGAACTAAAAACAAATTCTGAAGCTGAAATGTGCTCAGGGGCACCCTGGTCTTTCATTCGAAGGATATTTCTTTTGCACCTGGTTCTGGCTGGTGGATTCTGGAATTGATTGCCAAAAAAACCCAAAAAAACTATTATAACTACTATAGGACTAAGGGGAGCTGGCCAAGGTGGGGAGTTTTCACTGGTTCAAATACATTTATTCAAAAGCTTAAAGCCTTCGTAAAATCCATTCTGGCTCTAGATTACAGCATATTTTACCTGCTCGTTTGTCGAAGAATTCTCTGTAGCGATGATGCCAAGATATTTTTAGACTCCCATGAAGCAATATGAAGCATCTAAGTTCCATCGCATTTGATGTGCACCATTTACACAGTCCTAGTTAAAGTCAAGCGAGTAGACTATAGTGTTGGAAGAAAGGATGAATACCAAGGAGGGAGTAAATTAACCTTATAAGCCACCCAGAAAGCCTATAGCTAATGGGGTGGCATATACATCGAATAAATAAATAAATAACCAGTTACTTGACTTCTTCCCAAATTGGTTTATTTAGAAAAAGTTTGCACTTCTGAGGACAGCTGTGTTCACAGTGGAAGCTTCACTTTCCCAAGTGGCGTTTCTGCAACTTCACAATGATGGCATGAAATTTGTAAACTGTCCAGAGACTTTTAGTATTGGGTGGCATATAAAAACTTTAAATAATAAATATATTGAGGTATGGAGTAGCATGTCCCTGAATAGTTAGGGCCCTGCAATTATCATTATTATTATTCCTCTTCCTCTAGGGTAGGCTCAGGAGGTACAATCCAGATCTTAAAAGCTCCCTGCTTGGGTTCTGTTCCAGATTGGGCCTCCTGTGCCTACTTTGTAGTAATGATGAAAAAAAGATGCACCTGCCAGGTATGGATTTAAAGTCTGTTTTGCAGAATCTGCAGGTGTACATCACTAGTTACCAAAACCCATTAGCAAGGTGTTCATTTTGACTTGTCCTGTGGCAATAAAGAGTGGGAATGATGTTGTGTATGTGTCATTTTGTCTCTGCAGAAGACTGTATTTTCACCCTTACACCAGATCCCAATGCCAAAATTTACCTCCAGACCCCCAATTGGTTGGAAGGCTTGCCTCCTTTCATATCTTCTTATTGGAACATCAGTGTGCAACCAAAGCAAGTTGCACGGCTCTCCTTCCTAAGCGAACGGATGGGTGTGACTTGTGAAAAAAGCAGAGCGTTCACCAATGTAAAGGAACAGAGACCAAATGCAGAGGAAACAGTGTGTCGTGATGATGAAAAGCTGCCAAGAGCTCTAGATCTGCGCCACCATTTCTGGGTAAACATCACTAACTGCAAACCATCTGCCAAGCGTATCCTGAGCATGCAATTTGTGGTGACACTTAATACAAACAAATCAGGTAAGGCATCAATCAAACATGGGCCCTTTTTTCATGCAACCATGGTACTTCTGAGTCCACACAAAAGAAAAAAAAAGGTCTTCCAAGGGCTGGCTTTCAGGTTCACTTTCCCCGCGTTATTTAATCCTAGTCGATTTTTTAAAAGATGCAACCCATAAGTTGCCCACCTAGATCAAGCCGTTCAAAACGGTGCTTGTTTTGCTAAAGATCTGACCAAAGCATTTGATCATTTCAACCACACAACTAAAATGATCCATGGCTTGAGTCTGCTGGGCATTCTGTTGTTCCCCTTGCTATGCATTGATTCACAAGCCCTGTTACAGCAACAAGACACAACTCCTGGAAATGGTTGTGATTTCATGCCATCTAGGTGAACACAGAGTCAGCAGTTGTTGTTGTTATATTAATTTTTGTCCCACCTTTCTTCCTCTTGCAAGCAACCCAAGGTGGCTTGCAAGGTTCTCTTCCTCACTGCTCCATCCTCACAACAGCCCTGTGAGGTAGGTAGGCTGCAAGTCTGTGACTGACCCATAGTCACCAAGTGAGCATCATGACAGAGTGGGGACTAGGAAATGGATTTCCTGTGTCCCAGGCCAACACTCTTAACCGCAACACAACCCTGACTGGCTTGGAACTAGTTTGTTAAAGGCTCAATAATGCTTATCTACAGTTTTATATTCCCTCTTTCCACTTAATAATCCTTTATGGTAGCTTAGATACCTTGAACACCAGAACTAAAAAACATTCAAAAGTTTGGAAGTAAAATAGGCGAAGAACAAAAAGGAGTTTTAAAAAAGCAAACACACCCAAAGTACATCATCAGAGAATACAATTGTTTTGAGTTAGTACCAAGGTGCTGGTTTTCATCTGCAAGGCCTTTTATAGCTCAGTATTGCAGTCTCTCCTTGTATGAATTTACCCATTCGCTGGGATGCTCACTTGAGGTCCTTCTCAGGAACCCTCCTACAACGGAGGCTGAGATAAGGGCAGTAAAGAAGAGGGTCTTTTTGGTGGTAGTCCACTGATTGTGGAATAATCTCCCCAGTGTGGTCCACCTAGTCTTTGCAACATCAAGTCAGGTCTGTGCTATTCCAAGGCATTTAATGGCATAGGATGGGATTTTAATAATAGGGGTTTTTATCAAAACCCTATAACAGTTTTTTTGCTGGTTTAATTTGTTTTAAATTTTTGTGAAGCACCCAGAGAATGTTGGCCACTGAGCGGTACAGAAATGAAATGAAATGTCAATTCACATTTTCATTGCACAAATGCTACAGAATGTCCACTGTGATTGAAACTCTTCTTCTTTTATTAAACATGCAAGATACCCATGGGAAAAACTCACATATAGGGCATTTTGTATCAATATTCATTTGTGTTTTTTGGTTTCTAAACCTCTGTGGTATATGCTTAGTAGACAACATGGGATATGTTCCCTGTTGCAGCTAACCTTTACATGTTAAATTGTATACTACTGTTCAGGACTATTTGCTTTCACCTCTTTTTCTGTAATACTTTTGGATGTTTTATGCAATGCCCATTGGATTGGATCCAGCTTTAGTTATATTTAGAATAGCACATTGCAATCACTGCCGTTCATAGAATAGTAAAGTCGAAAGGGGCTATGAAGGCCATTGGGTCCAACCCCCTGCTGTTGCAAGGCACCAGTTTACAGAATTTCTGTCTATTTTCTTTGAAATCACTGAGACTTACTATGTAGGACTGTATCTGCTTCTAACCCACTGTGCCTTGAAAAGAGAGAACATCATGTACGTGATCATTCTTCAGTTGTGCAACCTGTGACTTTTTCTTGCCATTTTCATTTTCATCTTTCTCCCCCTGCCTTCCTGTCCTGCCATCCATGCGCTATAAACCACTGGAAGGACAGTTCTGGCTTTACAGAAAAGGTCATGAGTTCCAGACTGTTTTGTATTCTGCCCCTTCTATGAGTATGTTTGCACATGTACAATAAGCAGTGGTGGAATGGTAGATCCCGAAGGCAGGAGCTCTCTGCCACAGTCCTTCCAGGAAGAATCCAACATTGCTGGCAGCTTGCCATATCGACAAGTCACTGTATCTCTACCAGGAGCAGTTCTTAGCTGCCCATTGATGCCCAAATATTTTATATTGCAACAAAGAAACAAAGACCCAGTGCGCATGATCCAGACAAGAGAAAATAAGCCGTGATAGTTTATTTTCTCTGCTCGCTCGCTCGCTCGCTCGCTCGCTCTCTCTCTCTCTCTCTCTCTCACACACACACACACACACACACACACACAGAGAGACAGAGACAGAGACAGAGATTACATTTGCTAGTGTGGCTTGAAGTAGCACCAGAATCTGACAAAGTTGTTAGATTGTTGCTTCAGTTAACAGGCCACCCAGAACCCAAAAATGGCCCATGATTTCTGGATGGCTTTTTAGCCATACCAGCAAGCCCATCTCTCCAGTTTTGTACCAAACAGTAACAAACCAGTGAAGGAAATGACAATGTGCCAGTCTCCCTGGTACACGCTGAAGGAGAAATAAGCCACCATCACATCTCCCTTGCTATGATTGTGCAAACTAGGCCAATATATTGTTACAGAGAAAATTCCCTTCTTCTCGTGCCAGCTCCTATTGTGGCAGGACTGTGGGTAAGCTCAGAGGGAATAAGGACTCCTGTGTGGGGAGCAAGAGGGAACATTGGTGTCCCTGCTAATCAAAAAGTGTTGCATGCTACACCCCTGCGAAACATGGCTCTGTGACACGGCTGGTAATAAGTGTGCAGTATATAAAATCCAATCTCTTTCAAGTGTCAAACACATAGCATGAAAATTTTAAACCAGAGAGTGTCTTTCATGCTTAACTGCTTCCCTGCCAGATCTTTCTAATGTGCTCGCTCTCGCTCTCGCTCTCGCTCTCTCTCTCTCTCTCTCTCTCTCATATGAGACTTTGATTCGGGGGGGGGGGGGCTGATGCATGTGCTCAGAAAAAGACTCCCAGTGTATTTCTGAAGCAGAGAAGCGCATGAACTACAGCAGCTGTGCATCAGCAAAGGACGGGCCATCTCTTGGGTTGCATCGCATTGAACGTCTCTCTCCCCCTCTTATTTTCACAGGAGTGGGAGTTGTCGTTGGTGCAGTAGTTGGCACAATAGTGGTGCTAGCAGCTGTCGGGCTTGTTGTCTGCTGCGTTATAAAGAAGAAGAAGAATAAAAAGTAGGTTTGCTTTATTCTCCAGGCCTTTTCAAGTGGAGTAAAATGTGCCAGAGTTTTGCTAGAGGCAGATAGTTAAATCTCAGTCTGTCCCTCCCTCCCTCTCTCTCTCTGCTGTACGGAACCCAAGTTGGTTTACGTGATCCTTTGATCCTCAAAACATTCCTGTATGGGTGGATTTCACTGAGAGCCAGTGAGTGGCCCAAAGTCACCTAGTGAGCTTCTTGGCCAAGTGGGTACTAAAACCTGGATCTCCTGAGTCCTACTGCAAGAGCAGTTTGTCTGCTTTCTGTGTCTAACTGGTCCCAACGAGGCGAATTATGAGGAAGGCTCCTCATACTGGTTGGACACCTGCGATTCTTTCTCCTCTACCACCATCTTTAGTAGGTGGAGATGACCATGGAAGCCTGCTTTCCCCAACTTGCTGCCTTCTAGTTGCTTTGGACCATAGCTCCCCAGCATTCCCTCCCATACTGGGAGGGGCTGATAGGTGCTGAAGTCCAAAACATCTGGAAGACAGTAGACTGGGAAGGTCAGATGTAGGTAGCCTCGAGAGGAGGACATGAAGGAGAAAAGGTCGAAGATGGATCCTGCTGCTTAATGTCTGTGTTCCTGTATTAGCCCAGGATGGGAGAAGTAGAGGGTTAATTTTTGTGGGATTTGTAGCTAACTTTAATTTGGCCAGAGAAGGCTCCAGGGAGGTTCCATAATTGCCCATATTTACCCTCCCGCACCTTGAGTTCGGCAGCAGAGACCCTTCTTCGGGAACCTTCCGTGAAAGATATTAGGAGGGTGAGTACCCGGAGGAGGGCTTTCTCTGCAGTGGCGCCCCACTTATGGAATGCACTCCCCAGAGAGGTCCGCCTGGCACTATCATTATTTGTTTTTCGGCACCAGGCAAGACCTTTTTATTTAAACGATATTTTAATAATGGTTAATATTATTTATTGGTTTTAAATTTTTAGCTAGGATGAATCCAGATTTTATATGTACTTATCTGATTGTTTTATTTATGATGTTGGAAGCCATCCCAAGGCTTATGCGAATGGGACAGCATACAAAAAATCCAAATAAGTAAATCAATAAGAACAAGCAGACCCAGTCAAAACCAGATCCCCAGCTAGCATCCTCTTCTTTGATATTTTGTTATGGTGCTACCAGCCATGGTTTGCTCTGTCCTCTCTAGTCTGGAAAGGCTTCAGCCCTGCTCAGAGTTACATGCTCCTAAAATGAGTGGTGTTGAATGGTGTGTTTGGCTGCTGGGTTGTAGGCAGTCATAGCATGGGGCAGAGAAAGCCTGCTTCTGTTTGAGGCAGAGCATCAGTCCATCTGGCCCAATAGTCTTGACAGTGATTGTCAATGGTCTCCAGGGTTTCAGGCAGCAATTTTTCTTGTCATCCCTGGAGGTGCTGGAGATAGAACTGAGGGCCTTCCGAAAGCACAGCAGATGCTCGGCCACTGCACCATTGGCAACATTTGTGTGAAGTATGCAACGAGCCATGATTTGTACAGAACTGCACACTTACAATAACAGCTTTCCTTTCTATTCCCCCTTCCTGGTCCTCTCTAAGGGCAGGTTCTCTATGAATCTTCTGGGGTTTTTTGTACTCATAATATGCAATATATCCATATTCTAAGTTCCTTTTTTTGCAGGGTGGAGGTACTTCCTTTTCTCATAACCTACATAAGGCAGATAGACTTCTGTACAGTTAAAACTCTATAAAGGTTGCTAGTTGAACTAGGGGCTTTCCCATGGCTGGCCAGCCACAGACTTGTTGACCTTTGTTTGGGCAAGTTTTCCTTCCCCTTTATTGACATCTCCATTGGCAAGCGGGCCCAGTGCATCACTGTCTCAGTGTACAAGCCCAGTTACCCAATTTCTCCCCCGTTAACGGAAGTGACCTTGTGACAAGCAGTTATGACTGCGTGCTTTGTGTCTGCAAGGTAGTCACGCTTCAGAAACGTCATTAAGATTGAGCCAATGCCGATACACACTCCTAGAATTGGTTTTTGAGGACTGAGGATCTTAAGCTCCTCATAGGAACTAGGCCCACACCCAGTGCAAAGTTACATCAGAGGAAATTCTTAAACGAATGTATTAGGAATTTCTTTTTTCTCCATGAGGTGGCTATTTTGCCTCATTCCCATGTGAAAATAAGGATTGAAATTGATTGCTGCGTGTGAGAGGGAGGGAGATCAGCCTTCCTCAGAGTTGGTGTTGTCTGAATTACAACTTCCATCATGAGAATTCGTGTTTGACGCATCTGCAGGGCGGACACATGTTAGGCAAGGCCATACAGACAAGACTTTTCACTTGCTCCCAAGAGGGGACTATCAGATTCAGTTTCTTGCAGCTTTGATGGACAAACTGAGCTTACTCCATTAAGCCTCTGAGTTACTGAGCACTGATGTACTGACTGTTTTATGCTTGCTGCTCTTTTTATTGATATGGACTGTACAGTATGTAACTCGCTAAGCAAGACTCTGTCTGCTGGCCAAACACAGTGGCTCACTGGAGCTTAATTGAAACCTCTAATTTTTGTTGACTTCCTAGGTCTTAGCAGGCCCCTGGCAGATTACCACACACTGTCCCTGAAAAGTAAAATAAAATAGCAGTGATGTTTAAGCCAGCATGTACTTTATAGGGAAGGAAGGGTATTCTTTTTCTATAACCCTGGTGATATGGGTGAATCACCAGCATACAGCAGTTTGCAAATCCAGCTTTTCCCACACACTCTGATGAGGAAGAATTGATGACCCTAAGAAATGTCTGTGTATTGGTCCTAACCAAGCTGAAGGTGTTATATTAAATCTTATTGGTCAAACAAGATTTGTAAGCTTCTGCATTGTATGTGCTGCAAAGAGAAATCCTGGAAGGAAAAATTGTGTGTGTGTGTGTGTGTGTGTGTGAGAGAGAGAGAGAGAGAGAGCTTGTGTATCCACATACAGAAGAGCACATTCTTAATTAGTTTGCTTTGTATCTTTAATCAGGAAAAAAGAAAGCCAGGTCCCAATGGTGGGAGTGTATAATACCAACATCAACACCCAAATACCTGGACGGCAGGGCATATTCAAAAAGGAAAGGAAGAAAAATGAGTCTCATGTCTATGCAGTGATCGATGAGGCCATGGTTTATGGACACTTGCTGGATAACTCTGTGAGACCAGAAAATGCAGAGGTGGGAGTTTACCGGCCTTTTTCTGGGCCCATGATTACCACACCACCTTCCCCTCCTCCAATTCGGAAAGCATCCAAAGCACCCGAGACCGAGGAGTCGTTGCCCATGCTCATGACAGACAATGAGAACTATACCTTTACATGCCGTCCAGCTGAGGAACCCCAGAGCAACGGTGATGTGAATGTGAGTGGCAATGGAACTGTGGACAGCAAGTCATTGCTTGAACAGAACAAAGAGGAAACTGTAGCAGAATAATCTTGGTGGCAAATGCATGACTTCTGTGGTTCAGAAACAAAATGAAGTCTTAACACTTGAAGAGCTTGCTAGTGTTTTAAAAGGAGAATACCTGTTGACATCAGCTTTTCTGTGGTCTCTTTGAAAAAACGGATTGGATGCAGCTCTGCTTAGTTTTTGGAATGGATTTTCAAACAGTGACTTGCAATAGAATGTTGTGTAGGAATGCAAACAACTTTGGACGTGGAAAGGGACAGCAACGGTGTGTTTTCAGATTGTTATGACGAATGGACTTAAATGCCAGAAAGGAAAAGCAAGCGACCCAAGTTTTGGATGTTAGTTGTAACTGGAGAATGACATGGCTGAAAAGATGCATTGCATCTTCTATCCTCTAAGAAGAGGGTGTCACAAGGAACTGACTGCAAGTTGGTCATGCTGTAAAATGAATGTTTAACACAAAATAGGCATTTCCAACTGGACTTTTGCCAGTTGTTATTCCTGTGGGTTGACTTCCTAATATGTATCCAAGGATTGCACCACATCCTGAACAGAACAAATATACAACTAAACAGCAAAACTGGCTGTGCCATTTGTAAAGGGGAATTCCATTTATTCCCACTTTCAATCAGTTGTGTAATATTTATACAATTAAGGACAATTTATTTTTATTTTTCCTCAATGTTTATATGGAAATATTATTGTGAATGCTTAACAATAATCTTCAGTGTTGTTTTTTAAAGGTTGGGTCTTGTCAAGGATCTTCTAATGCAGACAAATTTATTTTTACAGCCTTAAACATTGCCAAGGCATTATGTTGATTATCAGCCTATAATTCCAAAGACTGTAGACAGAAACATAAAAATATCAGTGTGTATGCTAGTGGGAAACAAATTCACAGTGACTTGTGATCTTGAACATCACTGTTTCTGAGACAGCCTTATGCTCTGAGGTTCCCTAGAAATGGCACTGTAAAAATATACAATTTTGCACACAAGCAGCTAAATATTTGCTTTCAACTACAAAAGCACAGAACTAAAGAAAGCATTTGTTGAACTTGTATGAGTAATGCAAACAGGCAGTCATCAGATCTTTGTACTGTAATTTCATAGCCCAAATGTCTACCTGCCTCAAGTGCCTCATTTGGAATATGGGAAGTATTTTTGTGGAACATACACGGTTTTGCACAAGGAAAGGCTTTGCACTTGACAGGCTCATTGTGAATTTCCTCTTACATGGTTATTAATTAAATGGAATGTTAGGAAAGAAGTGGAAAGAGCATTTTCCTTTCCTTTAATTCCATCATCATGCTTTATTTTTTTTTTGAAGAAATATAATCACCACCCAGAGATTTCGCTTTAAAATATTCAATAAGATGATGTAGACATTTTCTCTAGTCTTTGTGAACCCTTCTTGAAACTGGCATATTGCACAAGATGTATTGCATAATCTTCATTTAACTTGAGCAAGGGATAGTTCCACTGACTCAGGGATAAGGAGAGGGGTGTTTATAAGCAGAGTTTTAACTAATATCACAATCCAAAGTTAATAGTTAGGATTTGGTAGGTTTTGTTTTGTGGTGATGCTCTTATACACTGGAGCTTTTGAACTACCGTCTTTCCAGAAGCAACTCTCTCCACAGAATTGGAAGGGACTTTGGAGACCATACATCCCCACTTCCCATACAGTGCATCCGTGACAGATGCCTGCCTAGTGCTGCTTAAACACTTAAACTAATCTGCTTCCCTTCTAATGTTTAGCTGAAATCTGTTCCGCTGCGCTTTCCTCCCACTGATTCACATTGCCCAACAATTTGGTCCTGTTTCAGAAACATCAGGGTGGTTCTCCACTGGGATGGACTGACACAATGAAAAAGGCAACGTGAAGGTACCTGTGGAATCACTTGCGCTTAGCAGCTTTTAGACTTCTTTCCCCTGTTCAGTTCAGCATATTTTCTACATCCTCATATACCTTTACTTCGTCTTTTAAACCATGTATTATGTTGACGCCATCAACCAGTTTACATTTTTCACATTCCATTGTTGCACTATTTTTTTACTTCTAATTGTTGGTATTCACTCTCTTTACTGAAATTGCACACTCTAGTTTGGGTTGGACCTAGTTGGGTGCCCTCTTAAAGTGCTTGCTGCGGTTTGCTTGCATTGCATAATCTGCCCAGAGTTTCTTAAGGCTCACATTTTATGTAGAAACCAGTAAACACTAGGCCATTGCACAACTGTGAGAGAGATGGAGCTGGAGTCTTTGCCCACTGAAAGAAAATAGCGCCCTTGTTCGTGCAGAGATTCATTCACACTACATAGTTGTATGTGTCTGGTGAAAATTGTCCTGGATGCTTGCCTTTATTTTATAAATATGAAAAGACGCTTCCAGAGTTGCAAAAAACACCATTTCCTGGCAGCATAGCTATTTCCAAAATGAATTTTCTTTCACAGGAGAATGCTATTGCAACAGCATCTTCATAAGAACACAGGATCAAATTGATGTGGAAATAGGCCCACCCAGCCTTTCTTGGCTATTATTTCTCTGTTGCTATTTCCATAGAAGAGGGCTGGGGAAACTTAGGCCTGGCGACTGAAACTAGCTTTCCTGGCATCCCAAACTGCCCTTTGGGGGAACCTAAATGGTACCTCCCCTGACCACCAATGGCTTGTTTCTGGGCTTCTGTGCCATTTTCCTCCTTTCTCCTAAAGGAGGAAATGCCTCTCCTAAACTTGTACTTAGTTTAAGTACAATATACTGGCAGCTTTCCCCCCCCCTTTTTTGGTAGTTTTAGGCCCCCTTTGCCTTTGATCCTGTCCATCGATGGATTACAGTCCCCAAAAATCTTCTCCAAAATGGAATTTGGAACTTAGACTAAAATAAGTTCCCCATCCATGCTATAAAGCTTAATCCAATGATCATTTATCACCTGTGGATGCTTCTGTTGCACTCTGTTTTAAAATAGGTTTATATTGACCTGGTCTTTGTAAAAAATTTGTGACACTTTTGAGTACGACTGATTTTTTTGAGGGGGGGTATTCTTGTAAAATAGTTTTTCCTCTGACACAGCTTTTTTATCTAACTTGCCCTTTCTGGTTGCAATAAAATGGTAAAATTTGTTTGAAAACACTTTGTATATGTGTTCTTCAAAATGAAGTGTGTGTTTCCAATGGCTACTGCGTCCCGGGCTAGAAAGTGATGTGTGCTTAAAAGTGAGAGCCTTGCTTTGAAGTCCATTTTTTGGGTTGATTGCTACAAATTGGCAGCACTTCTGCTTGTAATAGGTTCTTCTGGAAATGACTTTGGACTATTTGTTATGATTATCATGGCTTGTGAATTTGGTGACAAGTGGGCTTTGCAACAAAAAGTTGCGGCATGTGGGAATGCGCATAGGCAAGGTTCCAGTTGTTCTAATTTTCTTTTCAAAACTGTTGACTCACATTTATATTCTGTCTGGGTTTTGAAAAGCAATTAAAATGGTTTTCCTGACAAAACCCCAACCATTTTAGCTTTGTACCTTGATTGCAAATTATTTTTCACAGTGTTGCCTAAAGTATATTCTTAAGCTCTGAAAACTGTCCCGGTTTCCAGGCTGTGTGGAAACCTATTTAAACGCTTAGTTCTGCTGGTATGTTTCTCAACTCACCTAATTAGGATTTTTACAAAACCTAAATGCACTTGATGAATTTGGATTTCTGCTGTAAATTTAAGGAAGGCAATTTAGTGTCAGTCTTGTGAAATCAGACCTGTTTAGATAGTGGATAATTAGTGTGTGTTTGCATATCATGGGGGAGAGGTTAGGATAAAGCACAGCTATCCAGCAGCTTGAAAATACTCTTTTTATCTCTCCCATTGGCTTTTTTTTAAGCTAATGAGAACTTAAATTTGCCTTTAAGAGGCTCAAAATATTCAGAAACACGTCATTTCTTTAATGGGACTGGACCATTAATGAAACTTGTATCTAAGCTGTCTCCGCATACCCCTTCCATATTATGAGAAGGCAATCCAAAACAGTCAATTCTCTGCTTCCACAGTGTTGAATTTAATTTCAGAGAAATTCTTAGGAACTGCATTCCCCTTAAGGGGAAGAATGGAGGGGTGGAGGGGAAGAAAGAAGACACTGAGGTGGGAGGGGCAGAGGGACACCCAAAATCACTGCATATTTTAACCTGAAGCACTTAACTGTTGGTGTCAGTAAGTTGGTGCTCCATTTCAACACATTAGAGTGGGGAAATAGAATGCAATCCAGAAAACCTCAAAACAATGAGCAATCGGGGTGGCCATGTGAGACCCCCAAGGACCAGGTTAGAGCCCAGGAGAACTGGATCTGCCCCCAGGCCAGTTTCTATGCCCCGGCTCTGCTTTATGTTGCTTTGGGCACACAGGTACGTGTCTCTATTTCTCTGCTCTGAGAAAAGTGCTTTCCTTCCAGTTGGCATCTGATGGATTAAAAAACTACTCTGAGCGACTGACAAAAAGATCCTATGCTCTGTTAGTCCTGGAAAGGGCACCCATGGAATCACTGCCTTTGTGATATTTTCTGGTTTGTTTTGGCCAGCTCACCTGAGACCATTTGTGCCAGTTGGAGTGCCATGTTTTGGTAGAAAAGCAAATTGATGTGACTTAACGTGCTGCAGTGGACTTCATGCATGCAGCTGCCAGCCTGACGCAAGAATCGCATGCAAACACAGAGCAACTGGTTGTTTCTTGTGCCTTCCTCTCTCTGCATGGGGATGCCTGCTTCCTGCAAGACACGCCCTCCCTTGTGTGGAGGCCACAGCCAGTTAATACAACTGTGGAATTTAAAAACACGATACCATCCCTATTCATAGGCGCAAACCACTGGTATAGGAAGGGTGGATGTCTGGGGTAGGTGTGCTTGGGCATCTGCCAAGGGACAACACCCCAGCAGGGGCCCACAGCCATGAGCCACCTGGAGCTGCGCCTCCCACTCACTGCTGCCATTTGCTTGTTCACTTGCCTCTCGCTCTGGCTTGGACAAGTGGGGTGGTGAGGAGGAAGAGCAGGAGATGCAACAGCCTTTTCCTGCCTGCCGGTCAAGCAGGCAAGTGGTAGCAATGAAAAGAAAGAGGCAGAGAACAAGTTGCAGCAGCAGCAGCCCATGACCTTTATGACAGCCATTCTGGTGAGAAGGCAGACTCTGAGCAAAGGCCCATGGAGGGTGTCCAGCCCAAAGGCCTTCCAAAACCCAGAGCCGGACCTACCGGGAGTGCAGCAATGGCCCTTCCCCACAGGCTGATTGCTCCCTGAGCAGTAGGGAAAGGGTTTTGGCCAGGAAGATGCATGTTCCAGGCCTTTCAAGACCTCTTGCAATGAAGCTATTGCAATCCATCTGAAAGCACCAAAAACTCTTCCGCTGTCATCTCCACTGCTGCAGAGGCATGTAAGCCTCCAAACCCAGAGCTTACAAGCACCTGGTGGCAGGAGCAAGGCATGGCAGTGACCATCCCCACAGCTGCCATGTCTCACACTGTGAAGTTTCTTCAGGCAGTCTTAGCCAGGGGTCCCAAACTCAACTTACCTGGGGGCCGCAGGAAGTAGAGTCTGGGTGAGGCTGGGCCGCATCAAGTATTCCACCACCGCGGTGGTGGTGGGCCGCTCCTCCCGCCGCTGGCCCGGGCACCACCAGCGCTTTGAAGGCCACAGGGCCCCACCCGTCCCGGCAACTGGCCCACGGGCCGCGAGTTTGAGACCTCTGGTCTTAGCTGTCTAAATGTAATGCCAGGGAGGGACAGAGAAGGAGCCTGGGGTGTTGATTGACATCAGCACAAGTTGTGGCCCCTGTCCTAGCCGTGTGGCTCTTTCTGCAGTTGCTGGTTGCAAGAGGACAGGACAGGACTGGGCCTTTGGAGTCCCAGTTCTAGGACTGCAGGATCTTGGAGCTCAGATCCTGCAGGATTCCATTGCCTCCCTGGGATTGCATCTTGTTAATTAACCAGGAATATTCCTGGCATTTTTAGTCAGATATTAGTCATTTCACTCCTCCTTTTGGAAATGGGAAATCGGAAGAAATGCACTGTGCTCACTTAGGTTGATGCAGAAATTTGGGAAGTTAGACAGGTCCAGTGTGTTCTTTGCTTTAAAAATGCAAGTTCACTCCTTTGATTTCTGACTGATACACCGCACCTCAAACAGATACGTCTGTACCTGCTTGCTTGTGATTTAAATAGCCTTGCTGAATCAGACCATATTCAACCTCAGAGATTATTAGAAGGGAGGTGGAGAATTTCTCTTATTACTAGCTCTTTGATGCATGCTTGTTAGGGCAAACTGTGTAGACTGCAGTAGCACTCCTAAAGGAATAATAACTGAGAATGGTTTTTAACTGACTGGAGAATTGTTTGAAAGATACCCGTTCTATTTTTGGTCATTCTTGACTCCTTCCGGCTGGTGACTCTCAGTTGCCAGTGACATGATTAATTCCCAATCAAGGACTCAAGACTAATCACGGTTATTTAGTATACCTTGTCTTCATTAATGAGGATGTGAATCATGCCATTACTCATAGCTTGTCTATACCAATGGAAAAATGAGTGTGTCTCACATATATATGCTTATACTTGCAATGAGTCCTCTGAGAGCCACTATAACTGGGGTGGCCAGACAGAGGCTCGCAAGCCACGTGTGACTCTTTGAGGTTATTCTGTGGCTTGTGGAGGGCTCGGAGCTGCCCTGTTCAACCCCCAGTCCAGATACCAGTGATGGCACAGGCATGGTTTTGGTGGCTGCTGGGCTGCCCGGCTCTCTTCCTGAGGCTTAGGAAGGCAAGAGGGGCCAAACGTAACAACCTCCCATGTGCCATCTGCTCCATCTTGGGCTTTGTCCCTGGGGGTAGGGTTGGAGCAGGGATGGCAGCAGCTGCTGAAGATGCCAAGGAAATGCTGCCACCACCAGAACAGTTGCTGCCACCTCCAATAGCACCACCAGATTTGCCGCTTGGAGGAGTGGTGGAGGTCAAACCACCAATGTGCCTTCGCGCTTGTCAGCAAGAGTGGATGGGGCATGCTGTGGTGTGTTCTCATGAGGTCACTGGCCTGACCCGCTCTTGGGCCTCAGGAAGAGAGCGGGTTGGGCCAGCTGCCTCAGGAGGACTCACCCCAGGATGCCCCAAGCCGCTCTTGCTGGCTTTAAAAAGCCAACTTCAAAAGAGGAATCTCAACCCCCTTCCTGAAGGTGGAGTGAGTGAGGACCTGGCGCACCACCAAAGAGAATTGGTGGTGTTCCTGTGACAGTCCCTGAGGATGGCTATCCCATGGCCGCTTGTCCCTTCTGCAGCTCCTTCAAAGGTCCCTGCTGGGATGTGGTCTTCAAGTTAGAGTTCTAACAAAGAATTTTCAGCACTTTGCACTAAACTATAATTGTTGGGATTCTGTCTGTGACAACAGTTTAAAAAAATCTTACTCTTTTTGATTAATATGACATTTGCTTTGAGTAGTTCTTGCCACGAGAAGGAAGCTTCTATTGCGCAGTTTCCCTCCAGCAGCGCACAGCAGCTTCAGAGGCATTTTTGACAACCCTGTGGAAGGAAGAGGTTTACACACACACACAAATAGCATCCAGTTCCTGATTGGCAGGCTTGCAGCTATCCCTTCCTTTCTTTTAACAAGACATATTGCATGTGGCCACGCATCTAATGTGTCCTTTGCCTCTTTCTATCTTGGCACCTGGCACTCACCCAAAAGCAGATGGTTCGAAATGGGGAAGGCACCCTCCGAAAAGTTAAGGAGGGCTGGAAGCAAAGCCAGTCATGGGCAGAAGGAGGCAGCTACCTCAGGCAGCAAAGTCAGGTATCTTGACAAGGCAACACATTTCCAGCTAATTTGTTGTTATGACATTTTTATTTCCAGGGATAGGGTGGGATGCTTGGAAGAGTTTCTCCCTCAGAGGTCAAAATCACATGAATGGACTTGGCTACTCTGTACCTTGACTTAATGAGAGGGGAAAACTTTAGCTGCTCTGCTCCAGAGAGAGTTTGGGCCAGACTTGGTCTGAAAAGAATTTGCCTTGAATTTATACAGATAAGAAAGGTGCTGCTGTTGGTGGCTTTTCTCCCTTCCCTCCCCTCCCCTCCCTGTGCAAATTAATTTGAATCAACAGTAACAGAAA